TACAAATACGGAAGGAGAAAAGACTAAAATGTATTCTATTTTGTTTTAATTGAATTGTTCCATTTTGAGTTCATATTTATAGAGCTATGAGAGTATAGAGCTATGCCTACCGAGAGGGTCTAGAATCAGGGCATACCAGCAGCTGTAGGGCTGTGGACGATATTATTTTTTTAAATGTAGAAGGAACTAAAATTGCTGAATGGATTTGGGATTTCTTATAGAAAGCTTAATTTGAGGGCAAGGGCAGGGAAACTACAAGATGAACCTGGAAAATCTTATTTTGCCAGAAAGTAAGGAAATTCTCAAACAATGGGGATATATCAAGACTAACAAGGGAGCAACCTTGAAGGGTTTCCCCAAATATAAGGACTTTCTATAAAATAACTTGCTTATATTAAAAAGATATCAAAGACAAGAAAAAAACGCTGAGAAAGACAGAGATAGTAAGGCTAACAGAAAGGCTATTTTAGATTAAAGATGAAAGAGACATGGCAACCAAATTGAGTGCATTATCCTTAATTGGTTCTTGGGTGGAAAACCTATAAGCTACAAATGTTTTAAAAAAGATATTTGGGACAATTGACTAAAGTGAATATATACACTATTAGATAATTAGTTAGATAATTGTATTTCATGTATGTTAATTTCCATGATTTTCTGTGATTATGTAGGAAAATATTCTTGTTCTTAGTTTAAAAAAAAAAATAAAGAACACAGTGTAAAGCAGCACTGTCAAATGATTCAGAAAACAAATATTTCTCCAAATTGGAGGGAATGAAAGAATGATAAGAAAGTTCTCATCGCATAAAATGTAAACAAATGGTAAATGTCAGTGAAGGTACATAGGAGTTCTCTGTACTATTATTTGCAATTTTGGGCCATCTCTGAAATTATACCAATAAAAAAAATTTAGAAAATAAATGTGCTGAATATCTCATGGGTTTTATTTTGCCAGAAAGTAAGGAAATTCTCAAACAATGGGGATATATCAAGACTAACAAGGGAGCAACCTTGAAGGGTTTCCCCAAATATAAGGACTTTCTATAAAATAACTTGCTTATATTAAAAAGATATCAAAGACAAGAAAAAAACGCTGAGAAAGACAGAGATAGTAAGGCTAACAGAAAGGCTATTTTAGATTAAAGATGAAAGAGACATGGCAACCAAATTGAGTGCATTATCCTTAATTGGTTCTTGGGTGGAAAACCTATAAGCTACAAATGTTTTAAAAAAGATATTTGGGACAATTGACTAAAGTGAATATATACACTATTAGATAATTAGTTAGATAATTGTATTTCATGTATGTTAATTTCCATGATTTTCTGTGATTATGTAGGAAAATATTCTTGTTCTTAGTTTAAAAAAAAAAATAAAGAACACAGTGTAAAGCAGCACTGTCAAATGATTCAGAAAACAAATATTTCTCCAAATTGGAGGGAATGAAAGAATGATGAGAAAGTTCTCATAGCATAAAATGTAAACAAATGGTAAATGTCAGTGAAGGTACATAGGAGTTCTCTGTACTATTATTTGCAATTTTGGGCCATCTCTGAAATTATACCAATAAAAAAAATTTAGAAAATAAATGTGCTGAATATCTCATGGGTAAGACTTATAGTTTTCTTTCATGGACATTTCCTGAGCAGGAACAATAAACATTTTATTGCACATTTCTCTAATTCACAAAAGCATTGCAAAAACATTGGAGTATCTTAATTTTGCCCTGGCAATCACCCTAGGAGGTAGATATTCTGTGGACACTCTACAGATGGGATCCTGAAACCCACAGATTCGAAGTCACACAACCAAAGTACCATGAAAAAGTGAAAGGGAAAGTGAAGTCGCTCAGTTGAGTCTGACTCTTGGCGACCCCATGAACTGTACCTGCCAGGCTCCTACATCCATGGATTGCCATTTCCTTCTCCAGGGGATCTTCCCAACCCAGGATTGAACCTGGGTCTCCTGCATTGCAGGCAGACTCTTTACCATCTGAGCCACAATGGAGCTTACCCTTTAGTCAGTACCGTAAGTAGGATCAAAATTCTATTCTTTGATTTGAAGTCAACCTTCCTTGTCTTTAAATCACAGCAAAATTGACCCATACTTTCCAAATATCTCTTATAAGTTTGGGAAAAAAAAAGAAAAAGACAACAGTAAAGAAGAAATGGAAGAAGCACAGAGAAGTTTAGTGACATCCAGGAATACTGAAGCTGAGGGATGGGAAAGGGGGCGTAAACATACAAATGCAGACAGAGAACTATCCAATTAAACCGTTTACCTATCCACAGGTGGAAACTTCTGGAGCAGATTTACATTGACGTCAGGTCAGGTTAGGTCAGTTCACTAGTTTCCAAGGTGGCTCTAGTGGTAAAGAACCCACCTGCCAACGCAGGATACATAAGAAATGTGGGTTCGATCCCTGGGTCTGAAAGATCCTCTGGAGAAGGGTACTGAGACCCACTTCAGTATTCTTGCCTGGAGAATCCCATGGACAGAGAAGTCCAGGAGGCTGGTGGGCTACAGTCAGATATGACTGAAGTGACTTAACGTGCACACACGCACAGGTTATTTCTATGGTATGGTTTCAGTAAGTTTCTTGATTTGGGTTCTCCTTTTTATTAGGAATTTAAGCTTTTTCACTGTATAAGTAGAATTTTAAAAATCAGAGGCAGTATTAGCATATTTGTAAGAATATTTTTTTTGGATAGAACTCTCTGAAATAATATCAGAAATTTTCTTGGTTAGAGACATAAATAAGAAAGCAAGAAAACTCCTGGCAACTGAAAAAGAATGAGATATAATACCACTGAGGGGCTAAGGAGAGTGCGTGCAATGCAAGGTTGCCGAGGAAAAGTCTGAACCGTCACAATTCTATTACAGCTTACACTTGCTTGCCTTTGTTCAGATTTAAAACTGTGTGGAAAGTCATTTTATGTCCTGTATGACTGAACACGTGTTTATATTAGATGAAAGTGTTTTTCCATTTCCTTTATGTATTTGTGGTTTGAAAAGATGCTATTGGTATCCCTAACTCATAATAAGTGCATCTGTAAAGAAGATAATTGAAAGATGTTATTAATGTCACTGCAAGCCTGGTTGACATTTAGAAAGCATATGTTCTGTAAGAACATCAAATGGATGAATTTACCAAACCTGATGTTAATACAGGAGGTTGATCTCTTACTAAGACCTACCTATGGTGCAGCAGAAAACATTGAATTTCTAGCTAAAGGTACCTTTTACCTGTAACATAGTTAGGATAGAGGTTGCCCATTGGTGACATGCCCAACACATAGAGTATGTATAGGTAAAGGCTGAAGTCATGTTTAGAAGGGAGTGGGAAAATTGATTGCTACAGATGTTTTTTTATGATATGGGAGAAAAAAAAAGATTAAAATAGAATTATCAAGAAGCAGCAAAGTCAAGAATGTGCAGTTTAGATATGGGAGAGGCTATAGAATTGTGACCCAGATACAGAGTGCAATGCACAGACTCTGAGAACTTTAGAAGCAGACAGACTGTACCCTGGAGAGTCCTCGTGAAGCCCAGGTAAACGGCCAAACTACAGATCGGGGTCCTCACTTCTAGGCTCCCAGCATTCTCATTGTGAGCTCACTCTCATTCTGGTATGATGGTATTTCAGCACAGGCTCAATTCATTCATACTCATTCTCCCTGGCCTGTCTCCCAAACAATTCCGACTGCCTTTGTGGCTGACAGTTTACCCCATTCATCCAAGAACTTTCTGTGTCTGTGTTTGTACAAAGTTAGTCTTTTAACCTGCTTAACGACAGTTGCCTCTTCCATTCTGCACACACACGGCACTTTTTCACTCAGAGATTCTGGATGTTTGAGGCTCCTTCTAACCCTCATAGCTAAGGTCATTTCCTGGAGGCCTCTTCTACCCAATCAGGGGTGGGCAATCACCCTTGTCAGGGCTCATGAATCTATGAGGAAGCTATCTTTTTCTGACCTAATTCAGAAATGTTGGAGTATAATTACCTAAAGAGGTGCCATCTTTCAGGCGGCTGAAGAAATTAACATGTTTTTGGACCCAGGAATATTGATGTTTATTTTCTACCTCCTCCATCCGCTCTCATTTCTCACTTCTCTCATTTCATCCACTCTCATTTCCCATTTCTCCACTACATTTCTCATTTCTACTGCTGTAAGGATGGCTTCTCTAAAGGGAGAAGACAGATCCTAGAATTCTGCATGTACTTTGTCAAATCATACAAGAAGAGCATTAGACATGGTTGATCTTAGTTCTAAGTTTTAGTTACAGTTGGCATCAAAACAGGCTTCCCTGGTGGCTTGGTGGTAAAGAATCTGCCTGCAAAGCAGGAGACCCAGGTTCGGTCCCTGGGTTGGGAAGATTCCCTGGAGGAGGGCATGGAAACCTACTCCAGAATCCTTGTCTGGAAAACCCCATGGGCAGAGGGGCCTGGTGGGCTGCAGTCCATAGGGTCACACAGAGTGGGAGATGACTGGAGTGACTCAGCAGCAGCAACCAGCATCAAAACAGATCTGACTTGAGAACTAAAGAAACATTTTTATGCTAATTCACAGCAAGGTGCTTGCATATGAATTTCAAAGAGCACACTTTTAAATTTGTAACTCGAGATCTATTGATACAGACTTTTTGGGCCCTGATGGCTTAATGACAATAAATATTGTCCTAAATGACTGATAACCAACACAAATTATATAGTAAAAGCTCATTTTTTACCTTTAAAAATGCTTACCTTGTGAATAGGTGGAAGTTTCAATTTTTATGTGTGTGGGAAACATTAATACTTGATGTAAGAATCTAATGAAAATGAGTTTTAATTGTACTTCATTTTTATACATGACTTGCATGTGGAAATTACTGGACAGTTTATAGTGTTATAAACAGTGGGGACGTTTCCCTGCTGGGAGGATTTGCGGAGGCTGCCTGAAATGGGATGCACAGGGTCTGCCAGGGTCGCCCCGGTGGGGAAGCGACGTCACACTCACCCGTATACGCAGTGGGCAGCCGACACCAGCCAACCCCTGCTCACCAGAGAAGCTCCGCAGACCTGTTGATCGTTGAAATACAGAGCAACGACCCAAGGCCAGGCTCCTTCTCTGGAGTCATTTCCTCCGACAATCTTCGGGCTAACTTCTCGAGTCACCAGTTTTTTCCCACATGCTATTAAGATAATTGAAGAAAGAGCCTCTAGTTAATTTTGGTGAATTTCCTCTGATCCTGAAAATTGAATTGGCCACTACAAAATAATTTAAGGTGACAGCGACTCCAGGACATTAAACTGAAGGCTTGAAGGAGAACAAGAGGAAATATTTACTTACATTTATAGTTACATTGTAGCAGAATCAGTGAATCCTCTAAGCACTGTTGGCTGTAATAGAAGAGCAACTATATTTAAAAAATGGTGCACATAACATTTCAAACTAAACATAGTATTATAGGTTATCCTATTTTTTCTCTTTAGTAAAATGGGCTTTTAAATATGTCATACTCAAAGTGTAGGAAGGCTGAAATGCACAGCAGAGTCTTCAACTGAAAGTCAAATAAAGCTGAGTTTGAAACTTTAACTCTGCAACGCAGGTGATTTTAGATAAGTTGCTCAATATTTCCGAGGCTCAGTTTTTATATCCATTAATTGGGGCACAGTACCTTATTGGAGTTTTGTGAGAAATAAAGAAATATTTGCAATGGAATTATTATTGTGCATTATACAGAATCAGTATTCCATAAGCCATGCCTACTGTTAGCTTATGTGAATCAACCTTGGATTTCATCATTCTGTAATACAGAATGTGCCTCGGTGCCCAACACCATGTGAGGCTCAGGGAGAATTCAATTATGAATAAATCATAGGTCCTACTTTCAAAGGAGAGAGACATGTAAACAAGTACATAAAGTGCAGGCATAAATAATTAAAAACTCACTACCTGTTTAAATATTTGGACACCAGCTTTTTTCAAAGCCAAGAATTCTCTTTTAAAGAAAAATTGTTTTGAAATGTTATACTTACCAACCACTAGAGATCAGTATAATACAAGGAATTAAAGAGCCTGCCAACACTCCTGGTGCAGCTATGTAGCTATCGCTTATATTAAAACACACAACTACATATAATTTTAACAGTTTCTATTTAAATATTTAGCAGCATCTCTTGTGCATGTTGTTTAGCTGCTTGAAATTTTAGGAAAGAACAAACCAAGAAAACACAAAACATGACCCAAGATCCACATGAGATAATAAGCACAATCAGAGCAATTCAATGTTTCTGGAACATACATGATAAGTATTTGATCCCAGGCATTCATGCTGTCTAATGGGCAAATTCTTTAGAGTAGACATATTCAATTGAAATATAAGGAAATGTAAGTTATATTAATAAGCAACAGGTATGTGGGTATGTCTATCTAGATATACATGTATTTATATGGCTTCCCTGATAACTCAGCTGGTAAAGAATCCTCCTGCAATGCAGAAGACCTGGGTTTGATCCCTGGGTTGGGAGACCCCCTGGAGAAGGGAAAGGCTACCCACTCCAGTATTCTGGCCTAGAGAATTCCATGGACTGTATAGTCCATGGGGTCACAAAGAGTTGGACACAATTGAGCAAACTTCACTTTCTATAGATGTATCAGTATGCATTCAACATTCCCCAAAGAAGAAGCCTCAGTTAACTCTCCTTCTGTTATTCACCTAGGGTTAGGAGATAAGCAGTTCTTAGGATATTTTCTTAATGTCTCTGCTTTTTAATATGCTATCTAGGTTGGTCATAACTTTCCTTCCAAGGAGTAAGCGTCTTTTAATTTCATGGCTTCAATCACCATCTGCAGTGATTTTGGGGCCCCCAAAAATAAAGTGTGAGACTGTTTCCACTGTTTCCCCATCTATTTCCCATGAAGTGATGGGACCAGATGCCATAAGCCATGCTTAATGTTATTTTGTCTGCAGAAAATGGATGGATTTCTTTTCAGCAAGCACAGAAAAGTTTTTGGCTAACTTAACAGATAACCAGAAAATTAAAGTGAGCTTAGCACCTCATTCTTCATGTGTTTTGTTTAATCAAACTTTTCATACACAAGCACACATGTAGTCTCAGAATAGAGTGGCAAGAGGCTTCACTTGCAGTCAGAGTGAGCAGTGAGTCCATTTGTCCAGGTACGTTTAGAGAGATTAGAGAAAAATAGAGTGACTGTTCTGGTCTTTGGTCCTGGAGTCAGAACTAGGTTAGCCCTGCTATGGGAAAATAGGCAATGCCATGATGCTGTGTCTTACTCCCAGTCCAGTGGGGCAACACTGGGATACAAATGGATGTCTATCTACTGTGTTGACAAATTGAACTAAATTCTCTCCCTATATTTGCCCAACAACACTGGCCCTTTTTCTTTCTTTTTCCTTTCCAGAACTGCTATTTAAAGTAATATGCTGCCTTGGAGCATTCACAATATAGTAGGGTAGGCTTAAAATCTCATGTTGCCTCCAGCTTTGTGAATGTGTCCAAGTCACTTATCAATATCAGGCTTGTTTCCTCAACCTTAGAGTGGAGAAGTACTACCTAAGTCACAGAGCTTTTATATGAACTGGAAATACCCTCTGTAGCATTGTAATGTTTATACCACAGAGTCGGTCACATGATAAGCATTCGATGCATGAGATGCAGAAGATACAGGTTCGATCCCTGGGTCAGGAAGATTCCCTGGAGTAGAAAATAGCAACCCACTCCAGTATTCTTGCCCGGGAAATTCCATCCTTGTCTGGACAGGGGAGCCTGGCAGGCTACAGTCCATGAGGTCGCAAAGAGTTGGACATGATTGAGCGACTGAGAGGCAAAGTGTTGATAAGCACTCTACATCCTGTATCTAGAACACATTCTCAACCAACAGGTATAAAATAAAAATCTGCTTATATCTAGGACTACCAGACAAAGAAAAAGGAAGCCCAGTGATGGAAGTAGTGCAATTCTACATTTCCAGTTATATCAGGTCAAGTTGCTGGTATTATGGTTCTCCGTAGTTAGAAGAATCAACCTCCTTGATATCATCTTCCTTGTCTTATTTTGTTATTATGACCACTAGTGAAAGAGCATTTTCAAAATACCACATTACATGGGGCAATAAACCTGTCTCTTCGAAAAATAAATAAATATATTAATAAATTAACTAAGTGCAAATATATCTGATTTCCTGCCAACCTAATATATGTGGCTAATCAAGAAAGAGATTAAGAATGTGTCCTGGCTTATTGATGTACTGAAAGTTCCAAGTATCTCTGTCTATAAATGGTATCTCTTTCAAATAACACAAACCTACATACAATAGAGACATCAATGTACTTGTGATACTGGGATTTTGTTGATAAACACGGAATAACCTAGTTCTTATTTTATACATATATATAATTAATATGAAAATATTTAATACTTTTCCCTTTTTTCCTAACTCATCCTTAAATGTCTGTTAAATATAAATGAGAGACATTTTCAGCTGCCTAACATCTGTAATGGTAATGTAAATTTAGACACGCCTTATTAAAAGGAAATCTATGAAAGGAGATCTTGCAGATTCTTTGCTTCACCCCCAATGAGACTAATAATATCAGCTAAAGCTCTGCAAGCATTCATATAAAATATTCAACTGCAAAGTACTTTAGTACTAAAAATACTCCTTTAACAATTTGTTTTACTGGTTGAACTTACAGAAATGGCAATTTTTCATGAATAGCTGAATAATTATATAATTTCACTTTTCACCATTTAATATGTTAAACCAAAAACTACAACCTAATATACCAGCAATAATATCTTAAATTCTTGTAGTTATAGTCTTTTCTTAAAGTTACTTTCTCCACCCATCTTCAAGCTGGCCTTTAATGGAGCTGTAAAATTTGAAGCCAATTTCAGCTGAAGTTAACATTAATGCCCGAACAGAAGAAGTGACATAATCTAAGCTAAAGCATATATTTGAATACAGGAAAGATGGTGCTTTTTAAAACATGAGTGAAAACAAACCTAATTTTAAAGAGCAAAAGAGAAATGCAGGCACAACTTAGAGTCTGGGTTCCTTCACTGAATATCCATGTTTTATTTGCTATGAAGGGGCTTCCCAGGCTGCTTAGGTGGTAAGGAACTCACCTGCAATGCAGGAGATGCCTGAGAAAAGGGTTTAATCCCTGGGTGGGGAAGATCCCCTGGAGGAAGGCATGGCAATCCATTCCAGTATCTTGCCTGGAAAATCCCATGGTCAAAGGAGCCTGGTAGGCTACAGTCCATAGGATCACAAAGAGTGGGATACAACTGAAGCAACTTAGCATGTACACATTTGCTAGGAAAAAAAAATCATGACTTTTTGTTTTCTCTTTCTTCTCTTTTGATGATAGAAAATGGCATCACTCTTTTTCATCTGATCAACATGTACCTATTTATCTCAACTCACAATTTATTTCTATGGGATTTACTTTTGTTAAATCCAAGAGTAGGGATGAAAAGGATATTGAAGTAAAACTTTTTGAATCTCTGTGTGCTATTTAGTTATACTACAATACTTCATTTGACCATCTTACCATATATATGGATTAGGTAATGTTATCCAATAGGATGGATTAGATACTGTTTGCAATTACTTGAATAACAAAAAGTTAAATACCTTTCAAAATTATATGGCCAGTATGTGATGCCTTCAAAATCTGACTGGCTTTGAAATCTATTATTTTGTCCATGTACATCTAATCAAAGAACACATTTTGTAACCTACCTTGGTGTTAATATTAAGCTGCCATTAGGTGCTGTGTTTAATTTTACAAACGGTCCACCTCCTGTAGAAAAGGTTGGCATGGATGAGTTTCCGGTCCTAGGGAAAAACCCATGAACAAAATAAAAACACAAACAAACAAACAAACAAAACCATAAATTAAACTACTAGTTATTTAATGCTGTGGACATTGAAATAAACCATGGAATTTATGACAAAGAGATTAACATTTTAATATTAAACTGCAAGTGTTTTAATGTCTAAAAGATGGTATAGATCTGTAGAAGAATTTCTCACAATGACATAAAATGTCATTTTAATGTTTGTATAATACTTCTAGTTCTTGTTTGCCTGCTCATATATATTATTTAACTGAGTTAAGATCAGTGCATACATCACTTGAGTGTCTGAGTTTGTCATTTGAGTTTTTCTATGTTGTCCAGAAATTTCCATAATGGTCAATTATAATGACAACTTCACAGACTTGCTGCACCATAATTTATTAAATTTTTTTTCCTGTTGAGTGTAATTCACCTTTTAAGAACATGCACATTGTCTAAGAACGTAGAAAAAGGAGATCTTCGGTGTTTACTTTAGTCGCTCTGTTCTTGATATTTTATTCAATGCAAAGCCTATTAATAACTATCTTAAAGTCAGAAGCTATGTGATTGTTCTAAAAGAGGGAATATGTAGCCTGGCCCTCTGAGTGTCAACCAGTGAGCCAGAATGGGCTACACACCTCTATGTGACAAAAAACATTAAGTTACTGGCCTTTCTTATCTTTGAAAGCCTGTAACAGCCGTTCTGTCAACTGTGAGCCTTCATGGAAGATTTCTTTTAATTATCCACTCTTTCCTAGGCTTAGGCTGGAAACTTTTGGCTTCTGTTTTTATTCTTTTTCCTGCCTTTTATTTATTGTAGATACCATCTTACCATATATATGGATTAGGTAATGTTATCCAATAGGATGGATTAGATACTGTTTGCAATTACTTGAATAACAAAAAGTTAAATACCTTTCAAAATTATATGGCCAGTATGTGATGCCTTCAAAATCTGACTGGCTTTGAAATCTATTATTTTGTCCATGTACATCTAATCAAAGAACACATTTTGTAACCTACCTTGGTGTTAATATTAAGCTGCCATTAGGTGCTGTGTTTAATTTTACAAACGGTCCACCTCCTGTAGAAAAGGTTGGCATGGATGAGTTTCCGGTCCTAGGGAAAAACCCATGAACAAAATAAAAACACAAACAAACAAACAAACAAAACCATAAATTAAACTACTAGTTATTTAATGCTGTGGACATTGAAATAAACCATGGAATTTATGACAAAGAGATTAACATTTTAATATTAAACTGCAAGTGTTTTAATGTCTAAAAGATGGTATAGATCTGTAGAAGAATTTCTCACAATGACATAAAATGTCATTTTAATGTTTGCATAATACTTCTAGTTCTTGTTTGCCTGCTCATATATATTATTTAACTGAGTTAAGATCAGTGCATACATCACTTGAGTGTCTGAGTTTGTCATTTGAGTTTTTCTATGTTGTCCAGAAATTTCCATAATGGTCAATTATAATGACAACTTCACAGACTTGCTGCACCATAATTTATTAAATTTTTTTTCCTGTTGAGTGTAATTCACCTTTTAAGAACATGCACATTGTCTAAGAACGTAGAAAAAGGAGATCTTCGGTGTTTACTTTAGTCGCTCTGTTCTTGATATTTTATTCAATGCAAAGCCTATTAATAACTATCTTAAAGTCAGAAGCTATGTGATTGTTCTAAAAGAGGGAATATGTAGCCTGGCCCTCTGAGTGTCAACCAGTGAGCCAGAATGGGCTACACACCTCTATGTGACAAAAAACATTAAGTTACTGGCCTTTCTTATCTTTGAAAGCCTGTAACAGCCGTTCTGTCAACTGTGAGCCTTCATGGAAGATTTCTTTTAATTATCCACTCTTTCCTAGGCTTAGGCTGGAAACTTTTGGCTTCTGTTTTTATTCTTTTTCCTGCCTTTTATTTATTGTAGAGTTCAATCTTCATGTAAACCATGCCTTTAGGTTAGAGACATCCTGGTGCCTGCTCTCATCTCCTGTCTGGCACAGAGATGATGCAGTTCCTATCTTATTTATTTATTTTTTTCATTTACTTATATTTGTTGGAGGCTAATTACTTTACAATATAGTGGAATATCGTTACCCGCCCACTGCCTCTTCAAAAGACATCCCAGTGTGTTCCCCAGATGATTGTCAATCTGAACATTTCCTACCTCTGTACACAGAGGAGTTTCCAAGGAAGACTCATGCCTGTTATGATCAGGAAGAGGAAAAGAACTAAGGAGAGGGTGTTTCCTCTCTCTTTCAGGTCATTCAATACCTTAAAGACCCTGAAAGTGTCTAGTAGCTTTCATCCACTGAACAGAAAGCTGGAACAATGAAACTCCTATGTAATGTCCCAGAATTTATCACTTGCACTTTCATTTTATAAACAGATGAAAATAACTGAAGCACACAAATCAATGACCAGTTCTTCAATAAAGTCTAAAATGGATTTACCCAAGAAAAATGAGTCACTACTATTATTGCTAAAGTTTAATATATTCCTTCCATGTGGGAAGAATAATTATCTTTTTTAAAGACTTACATAAAATATAGTTGTTATAGCTCAGAAAAGAAAACAGGAATAAAGACATCCAAAGAAACAGAAAATACTCACTTAAGAAGATACATACACCTCAATGTTGACAGCAGTATTATTTACAAACCAAAATATGGAAGCAACCTATGTGCTCATCAGCAGAGGAATAGATACAAAAGAATAAAATTTTGCCATTTGTGACAAAATGAGTGGATCTAAGCAATCTGTTTAAGGCACTCATAAATTAATTCATAATCAGGATCCACAAAATGAACATCACCCAGGGGCCTGGTCCATGTCGCAAATCTAAATCTAAGTCAGCCTACACTTACAGGAAGTGCTTCACTGTCAAGAAAATGTAACACCAGTCATAATCCTCCAACTCAGGTTTAGCTGGCTCAGTTCAGTTCAGTTCAGTTTAGTCGCTCAGTCATGTCCGACTCTTTAAGACCCCATGAATCGCAGCATGCCAGGCCTCCCTGTCCATCACCAACTCCTGGAGTTTACCCAAACTCATGTCCATCGGGTCGGTGATGCCATCCAGCCATCTCATCCTCTGTCGTCCCCTTCTCCTCCTGCCCCCAATCCCTCCCAGCATCAGGGTCTTTTCCANACTCCTGCCCCAGATCCCTCGGTAATAGTGCTCCACTGCATGTGAGGCATTGTCCCCTCCAATCCATGGGCTATTTTTTCTTGAATGCATGTGCATGTGTGTGCTCAGTCATGTCTGACTCTGTGAAACCCCATGGACTGTAGCCTGCCAGGCTCCTCTGTTCATGGGATTCTCCGGCAAGAATACTGAAGTGGGTTGCCATTTCCTTCTCCAGAGGATCTTCCTGACCCAGGGATCGAACCCGCATCTCCCGCGTCTCTTGCATTGCAGGTGGATTCTTTATCACTGAGCCACTGGGGGAAGTCCTTCCCCTTGAATAAAGGACATTAACTTGTTATTAAATTGATTTAGTTTTGTCATTTGACAGCACTTGTGACTACATGGGGAAATATTTAGAAAAGTTATTCACTAAAAATATACATTAAGGTTGTGGATTTAAGGCTTGCTTTGTCTCTGGCGGTTTTTAGTCTATTGCTTAGTTGTCTTTTAAAGATAGATCCTGAGGAGATGTATTAATTTCTGTGGAAATTCAAAGCAAAGTCTAAGCAAAATGAAATTGAGAAAAATACTGAAAATTATTTATAAATCAGTTTTTAATCTAATATCTGTTTATTACACACCTATCACTGGTACTGCACTGTGGTGGGATTTTCAGTTATATTTTTAACACAAGCCTCTTCTAGAAGAAAGGAAGACTAGAGGCAAAGCTTTAAGGATGAAGAATATTTAGTAAATGCTGAATGTTCTACCTGGGATTATCAAGTACTGCTCCATAGTTATGTTTTCACTAGCTGACTGAGAAAAATAGATTATGTATGTATGTGGACAAAATGACAGACATCAAGCTTGTATTCTAAGCTTGTGTTCTAAATTTGCAACCTCAAACTTTATATGAGAAAAAAAAAAACCACTGCATTTAATGGTGCACGTATATTGTTTTGGGTTACTCAGAACAACTGGGTAAAACATTCTCTTGGAAAAAACTTCTAAAGTACTCACATAATTAACTTTTATTGTAAATATTGATATCAGCAACCTAAGGGTGGTGTATAAAGCCCATTGGTTCAAACAAACATTTCCAGGCATCAGTGCTGGATATTAAAAGTTAGAACTTAATTTGAGAGAGAGTACCTGCATTTCAAGCCCTGCCAAGCTGAACTCACCTTTTTCAAACCAAACAGAATGTCTTCCAATTGGTATTCGCAATAAACAAAATATAAGTGGCAGAGGAAGTTTATGATAAACTATTTCTTATTTTAGAAAATGATGGAGATGATAAGGATACATTTAAAATATTCTTGGCAAAATGAAAGGTGGGCAATCATATATTAAGTCACTATTTAGTTCATAGAAACAAAATCTTAGAACTGAGAAACTGAACTGTTGAGAATATATTATACTCAGTTCTTTAAATGAAGCATGTAACTGAAGCTGTCCCTGACTCAGTTTCCTCTTTGCAAGAAAACCAGTTGTTCATTTTTAGAGAGGCATTCTGTCAAGATTACAGCTGGAATTTGCATTTATTTTTTATTTTGAAAAGGTCCCAGCTCTGCACATTTAGGTAACTCTGTGCATATTTGCATAACTGTTTGAAATCTGCAGTTTTGTGCCACATTTTTAATGCATCCATATAGCATCACCTTGATGACATGGTAATGCCCCCTGACTGCCTATTTCTAAGACTTCATTCCCATTTTTGTACATTGTGCACTCTCAAAGGGCTCCCCTGGCTTCAGGGGAACCTTATTCTCTGCAAGAAAAGAAGCATATAAATGCAATCCACCATTATTATTTTTGAGGTCATATATGGAGTATAAAAATATACTCAGAGAAGAATTCTAGAGAGAAAAAGAAGCCTGTCCCAAGGCGTCTTGCACAGCATTAAATCTGACTCTCTTCTCGGGCCCCTTGTAGGTTTCCTCTCTTTTGTCTTCCTCCTTAGACTGTGTATGCTGTGATAAGAATTCCTCCCTGAAGCTGGAGCTTAGGTAGGGATGTTTTAAGCTTTTGGACTCACTAAAGCTGCAAAGAATAATAACAAATGTTGCAAATGCTGCAGAAAGGCACTGTAGCTCATTTCACACCCCAAAAGCTTTAAGTAATGAATGGAACCAGATGGGATTAGTCTGAAAATGGTTTAGAAGAATGGGCCTTCCCTTTCGATTGGAGGGAAAGAGAGGGATCGATTTGGCAGGACATAAGGTAGGAGAGAGCATTTTAATAGGCAGGGAAAGGGTAAATGAAAGGAATTTGAGGCAATGGATGGCAAAGCATACCACTAGGAGAGTGGGGACACGTGGGCAATTCCACAAGCATCATGACTGAACTGGACACATTGTAACTAAAATAGCTTATTCATTCAACACGTTTATAACAACTCACCTAGCACTTACCCAGCCATATGTTAGCTCTTAGAAAACAAGTAAGCTTACTTAATTTTAGATTTTCTGATCTCAACTCAAAATTTCATGACAAACAAAAGGAAAAAAAAAATGCCAATAGAAAAAATTTTCTTCCCCTGACCAATTTACCCCTTTGTACAAGCTACTGTATTAAGAACCAGAGAGAAATTGATAGGGTCAGTCTGGTAGCCACTCTCTACCATATTAATGGTATTTGCAAAGAGACAGACTTCTGGTATCTCCTCCTAAAAACCAAAAACATGGTTGAGAGAAGTGATACTTCAATCACGGGAGATGGGATCTCTGTGGACAGCATCTTGGATAAAATGATCTTAATCCCTTGTAGTATATTTTTGATTCAATTGTAACATTGTTTTCTCAGTCACTGCAGTTCATTTATCTTTGAATAAGAGGTATATGATATACACCTCCATATTTACTATAAAATTTCTTAGTGCATGCTTTTTAATGCCTTACTACACTTTAAGGTCATACATGCAAAATCTCCTTTATAATTGAGGGTTCAGAAGAAATCTGTCTTCCTATGGAACTGGT